TCTGTGAATGGCCTAACAACCAGGATCTACAAGTAACTCAAAAAAGTGAAAGGAAAAAAAAAAAAACAAGCAATTCCATTAAAAAGTGGGCAAAGGACATGAATAGACACTTTTCAAAAGAAGACATACAAGTAGCTAACAGACACATAAAAAAATGCTCCGCCTCACAAATCATCAGAGAAATGCAAATCAAAACTACAATGAGATACTACCTAACTCGAGTAATGATTTATTGATTTATCATCAATAAATCAAAAACCAACAGATCCTTGTGCAGATGTGGAGAAAAGGGAATGCTTTTACACTGTTGGTGGGAGTGCAAGCTAGTTCAACCTCTACGGAAAGCAGTTTGGCAATTTCTAAAAGAACTAAAAGACCTTCCATGTGATCCAGCAATCTCTCTTCCAGGAATATAAATCACTCTACCAAAAAGACACCTGCACACGATGTTTACTGCAGCACTATTCACAATAGCACAGAACTAATCCTACTGACCATCGAAAGTGGACTGGATAAAGAAAATATGGTACATACACACAATAGAGTATTACATAGCCATAAAGAAGAGCAAAATTATGGACTTCACAGCAAGTTGGATAGAATTGGAGATCATCATACCAGTGATCTATCACAGAAACAAAGAACTAAATACTGCATGTTCTCACTCATTAAGTCGGACCTGAACATTAATCACATTAGTACAAAGGAGAGATCAGTAGTTGCTTGGCACTGGTGGGGGGGGGGGCACATAACAACACAAAGCATACCTGGTCCTATACCAGAGGGAGTAAGGGCCAGTTGGAGGCCCAAACTTTACTGGCATACAGCCTACCTGTGTAGTTAATCTTTACTTAGACCCCGCATTTCTATAATAAAATAAAAGTTAATATAAAAAAGCAAAATGGCAGATGTAAATTCTTATCAACAGTCTCAAATTAAATACAGTAAAGTAAATAAACACTCCATTCAAAATGCAGAGATTGAAAAAATTGATTTAAAAAAGAAAACATGATCAAAACCATCTGCTATCATAAGAGACATATTTTAGATTCAAAAACACAAATAGGTTGAGAGTAAAAATATGGCAAAATATATCCCATGCAAATAAAAACCAAATTAGAGTCAGGTTTCAAAAATTTGAGTCTTCTTTCTTTTTTACTTGATCAGTTTAGTTAAAGGATTATAAATTAGTGGATCTTTTCAAAGAACCAACTCCTCTCCATTTTCCCTCTGTTTCATTTATTTTTGCTCTAATCCTTATTATTTCTTATAGATTTGGGTTTAGTTTGTTCTTTTTGTAGTTTCTTAAGGTGGAAGTTTCAGTTATAATTTGAGATCTTTCTTCTGCATTAATATGGGCATTTACAGCTATAAATATCCCCCTAAACACTGCTTTTACTGTAATTCATTAGTTTTGGTATGTTGTGTTTTGTCTTAATTCATCTGAAAATATTTTAGAATGTTCCTTGTGATTTTTTTTGATCCATTGATTATACACTAGAGTGTTGTTTAATTTCCACGTACTTATAAATTTCCTAAACTTCTTTCTGTTGTGGATTTCTGATTTCATTTTACTGTGAATAGAACTGATAAGAGTGGACATCCTTGTCTTATTTCTGATCTTAAGGGAAACATTTCAATCCTTCACCATTAATTATGATGTTAAGTATTAACACACAAATATGGCCAATTGATTTCTGAAAAAAAAAATGCAAAGGCAAGCAAATGGAGAAAGGATGCTCTTTTTAACAGGTCATTCTAAAATAACTGGATATCTATAGGCAAAATAGTGAACTTTAACCTGAACTTCACACCTTATATAAATACCAAGTCAAAATGGATAATAGATCTAAATGCAAAATGTACAGCCACAAACTGTTAAAAGAAAACACATAAAAGTATCTTTTTCATGAACAGGTGCTAGGCTGAGTTCTTGGACACACACACACACATATATAGCATTATCCATGAAAGGAACAATTGGTAAACTAAATTTTATAAGAGTATAAAATATTTGCTTTGAGGTAAAAGACTTATACACTGAAAACTACAAAATGTTGCTGAACAAAACTAAAGAAGACACAAAAATCCCATGTTCCTGGATGGAAAGACAATACTTTTAAGATGTCAATACTAACCAGTGGGATCTATAGATTCAATACAATTCCTGATGTCTTCTGCAGAAATAGAAAAATCTATTCTAAAATTCATATGGAATCTCAAGAGATTACCAAATAGTTATAACAATGTTGAAAAAGAAGAACAAAGTTGGAAGTCTCACACTTACTGCTTTTGACACTTACTATAAGGCCACAGTAATTAAAACAGTATGGTATTGGTGTAAGGACAGACATATATGGTCAAATGATTTCTGAATAGGGTGCCAAGATCATTAAATGCACAAAGAATGGCATTTTTAAAAAGTAGTAATAGGAAAACTGGACATCAATATGCAAAAAAATAAAGTTGGATCCTTACCTTATGCCATACACAAAAATTAACTCAAAAATAGATCAAAGACTTAAAAATAAGACCTAAAATCATAAAACTCTCAGAAGATAACATAGGGAAAAACCTCCATGACAGTGGATTTGGCAATGATTTCTTGGATATGACACCAAAAGCAAAGATAACAAAAGAAAAAGTAGACAACCTGAACTTTATCAAAATTAAAAACTTTGTGCATCAAAAGACACTATCCATAGAATGAAAAGGCAACTCACAGATGGGAGAAAATATTTGCAAATCATATATCTGATAAGGAATTATATACAACATATATATATAGAACTGTAACTCAACAATAATAAATAAGCAAGTTATATAAAAAAAACAAAAACAAAAAACAGGCAAGTGACTTAAACAGATATTTCTCCAAGGAAGATATACAAATGGCCAAAAGGCATATGAAAACATGCTCAACAGCACTAATTATTAGAAAAATGATGATATCACTTCACATCCATTAAAATGGCTATCATTAAAGTAAATAAAGAAAGAAAACAAATTTTGCCGACAGTGTGAAGAAATTAGAACCCTTGTACATTGCTGGTGGGAATATAAGATGTTACAGTCTCCATGGAAAATAATAAGGCAGTTCATCCAAAAATTAAATGTAGAATTACTATATGGTCCAGCAATTCTACTTCTGGGTATATATCCAACAGAATTGAAAGCAGGTATTCAAACAGATGTTTGTACACTCATGTTCATAGCAGCATCATTCACAATAGCTAAAACATGAAAGCAAGCAACCTAGTTGTCCATCGATGAATAAATAAAATACGATATATATACACAATGGAATATTATTCATTCTTAAACAGGAAGAAGATTCTGATATATACTACAACTTGGATGAACCTCAAAGACATTGTGCCAAGTGAAATGAGCCAGTTGCAAAAGGACAAATACTGTATGATTCCATTTATATGAGGTACTAGAGTAGTCAATTCATAGAGACAGAAAGTAGAATAGTGGTTGCCAAAGGCTGGTGGTGGAGGAATGGGCAGTTGGTGTTTAATGAGTACAGAGTTTCAGTTTGGGAAGATAAAAAAAATCTGGAGATGGATGGTGGTGACAGTTGCAGAACAATGTGAATGTACTTAATGCCACAGAACCATACACTTAAAATTGTTAAAATGGTAAATGTTATGCTATGTCTATTCTACCATTATTTTAAAAAGTTGAAATGCACTGTTAAGAGAGTGAAAAGACAAGCTACACTGGAAAAAATATTTGTGAATCATATGTCCAACAGAAGATTGTGATAGAATATATAAAGAACTCTCAAAAATCATCAGGAAGAAAATTAGCAACCCAATTATAAAACAGCAAAAGATCTGAACAGACACTTTAGCAAATAGGATATAAAAATGGCAAATAAGCACATGAAAAGATGTTCAACATCATTAGCCATTAAGGAAATGCAAATTAAAACTACAATGAGATACCACTTCACATCTACTAAAATAAGCAAAATAAATACTGACAATACCAAGTGTTGACAAAGATGTTGAGCAACTGGAACTCTCATACATTGCTGGTGAAAATGCAAAATGGTACAGCCACTCTGGAAAATGGTTTGGCAGTTTCATATAAAGTTAAATGTACACTTACCATATGACTCAGTTATCTCACTTCTAGATATTTACCTTAGAGAAATAAAAACTTATGTTCACACAAAAACCTGTACAAAAATGTTCATATCAATATTATTCATAGCCACCAAAACCTGGAAACAACCCAAATGCCCTTTAATGGGTGAATGGATAAACAAACTTTGGAACATCTATACAATGAATGCTACTCAACAAAATAAATGAACTATTGATGCACACAATACTTGAATGAGTCTCAAAGGCATTATGCTGAGTGAAAGAAGCCAGTCTCACAAAGTTACATAATGTATGATTCCACTTATATGACATTCTCTAAAAGATAAAACTACAGTGATGGACAACAGATTAGTGATTGCCAGGGGTTATGGTGGGAGGTTGGGAGTGATTGTTTTTAGGATGATGGAGCTGTTCTCTATCTTGATTGTGGTGGTAGTTACATGAATCTACATGATTTATAATTCACAAAATTGCACACCAAAAAAAAAGCCCCATGCAATTTTATTGTAAGTTCATTTCAAGAATAAAAGAAATACTAGCTATTATATAATCATCATCATCATCAATAATTATACTTTACTGGTTAATAAATATATTTAAAATTATTTGTGAAATGGGATCTAAAAATTATTAAGTTCATTTTATGTCTGGTACAATAACTTAAAGGTATAGGAAAAAACACAACACTAAATGTAAAAGCTTTACAGCTTCTACTAACTCCTCTCTTTAATATTCTATATCAGGATAATATGCTCCTTCTGGATCATTTCCTATAAACATTGTCAAATACTAAATATGGAATTAAATAAGTGCTCAACTTAGAAGCCTGGGACCCTAGGTTACATTCCTAAATCTGACACTATAAGAAAACTCTCGACTTGCCTTTTGTGCCTAATTTTATCTTCCTCTTCATTGAGGTCATGTACTTGTCTGCACTTGTCTTTTTGTGGTATGCTGTGAAGGTTTAAAGCAAGGAGTTTCAAAGATAGGAAACAGAACAGATTCATATACCCCCCACCCCCCACCCCAAATACCAGGTACTGCTCTAAGTGATTCACATGTATTAACTCACTTAATCCTCCTCATAACCCTATAACATAGCTACTATTAATATTCTCATTTTGCAGATGAAGAAACCAAAGCATAGAGGGGTAGCCTGTCCAGCATCTCATAGCTAGTAAGTGGGGGAGCCAGGATTTTCCCAGGCAGTCTGTCTTCAGAGCCCATGTTCTTAATCAGTATGCTATAATGTCTCTCCACAAAAGGCTGTTCATCTGTCCACTCATTTCTTCCTTTACTACTGCTCTACCATGTCTATGGTCTCTCTGTCTCTAAATACAAATAATTCAATCATTCTCATGACTTTAACACATCATCTAAGCATAGATGATTCCCAATTCTATATATCTAGTTTTGACCTCCCTCCTGTGATTCACTATTGCATTTCCAACTGTCTCCTCAATATTTGCATTTGAAGATCTGTCATTCTCACAAATTCAACATGTTTAAAATCAAACTAATCGATCACCTTTCCTCAAAAATTTCCCCTTAAAGTCTTTCTTAATTTTGCCAATTGTTAAGTCATACAGTCTTGAAACATCTGGATTATTTTGACACATTCCTCTTCTCTTTCATTCTCAGTCAACAAGTTTATCGATTCTCCCTTTGCAAACCTACCTCTCTTTCCAGTTCCACTATCATTCTAGTACAGGTCTTTCTGCCTAAATGACTGTAATACCTCCTAACCATTCTCCTTTTTTCCAGTTCTTCCTCTCTCTCATCATATTTATTGATCACCAGATTAATCATTTTCAAATACATCTTTTATCATGTTACTCCCAGCTCAAAAACCTTTAACCATATTCAAACTAAGTAACTAATTGAATAACTAACTCTGTATAAGGTCTATACTACTCACCAAACATAGGTCAAAATTTTTAGCTACCTTTCTAACCTTGTCTCACAACTCCCCCAAGCATTCCATGGTGCTCACACCATTTGTTGCAATTGAAATGCCATTCCCTCTCCTTTCTAAAGAATAGGTAGTATTAAAAGAACATTTAAATCTTACCTCCTCTGAGAGGCCTTCTTCGGTCATACCAATACACAGTGGCCTTTCCCGCCTCTGAACTCCTACAATACTTAGCAACTGTACCTAGCACTGCTACTAAATGTTACATGTTTATTTCTCCAGCCAGATTGTACTTGTAATAGACCTCTCAGGAACGATTTCTTAGACTTCTGGGCCCCTTCCACAGTACCTAGTAAAACTTAGCTATTAAACATATTAATTCTGGTTGAGATGCATACTATTTATCTATATATTGTGCTAATTTACAGTTCAGCCTAAAGATCCTTTACAATCTAGCTTCTCCTCCCTTTGCAGCATCATTTCCTGCCGTTCCCTGCTGTCTTATAATCCTGCCACACTCAACTTCTCATTGTTCCCTAGAAACACTAGGTTCTTTCACAATCCTGTTTCTATTCACTCACTATCTGAAATGCTCATTGCCCCTTATTTATCTGATAAATGTCTGTCAATCCATCAATACTTAGTACAAATATCAACTTCTGACTCCCCCAACTAGACTTAGATGCTCTGTATTCTGTGCTCCCTCAACATTTTATTCAAAAATCTATAATAGCAATTTCCATGTAGTCATGCAACTGTGTATATATTTATTTCTCTCACGGGACTAGACATTCCTCAAGAGTAGTGATAGTTTGTCCTTTCTCTACTCCCTTCACTAACTCTTTATATTTAATCCTCTACTAGTAAATCTTTCTCTTTGTGAAAGAACATATCAAAGTCAATGGAGATCACATACCTTGGTAATAAAGAGCCTTAAGGAAGGAGTGACGATCAGTTCCCTGAAATAAAGACTTTTCTATTTCCATTTCTCGTCGGGTCAGCTGTTTGCTCTTTGCAAATCTCTGTGGCAGGCAAAGGATACGCTGACGCTCTGAGATCCTTTCTTCAATATCTTGAAGACGGTTCTGTATTGCTTCAGGAGTTGCCCTCAGTCTTGTCTTCTGAAACCAGAGAAATGAGAGGACATATATCATAGTGGTGCACCCTGAAAATGGTGATCTGATGCCTCAAGTAAGCAAGAAGATGACAGGATCCAGAAATGGATGTTTATAGAAAGTGTTAGTTAAGAAGTCAAAGAATAGTTTCTCTTTTACCAATGTCCTTATGCTAAAAAATAAAAATGAAAAGGGTCTTAATGCTAAATGAAGAGATCCTGCTCTGTATTCTCTAGGAAAAAAAAAAAGCCATTGCCCTACTCACCTTTTCACCCGAAACATGGCTCTTCCAGATCAAGATTTCAGTTTCATTAAGCCCTAGTTCCCTGAGAGAAGCAGTTTCCTGGTCCTTCTCATGAAGTGTCTGAAATTGGGACAAAGTCATAGTCCCAGCTGCTTCCTTCCCAAAGGGCTTGTACATAGTACCAGGAGCAAAGCTCTCTTTCTTAGACACACATCTGCAAAACATGCAAGGGAGAGTAAGAACAACTTGAGGCTATCACAATTCACAAAAATGGGGACTCACCATTATAAGAGGCACAATTACACACATCAGCAATTTCTCTCTCACATCCTATTTCTAAGCTGAAGCACCACTGCAACAAAATGGAACTCTACCAATAGCCCCTTCATCCAGGACTAATAAATGACTGAATCAAGAAATATGTATTCAGTGACTACTACGCATCAGATACTGTGCTAGGTACTGATGTTTTAATAGGAAAAGAGAGAGAGACAGAGAGAGAGAGAGAGAGAGAGAGAGAGAGAGAGAGAGAGAGAGAGAGAGAGATCACACAAGCATTAAGGAAGGAGTGACAATCAGCTCCCTAAAATACTTTTCTATTTCCATTTCTCACTGGGTCAGCTGTTGCTCTTTGCAAATCTCTGTGGCAGGCAAAGGATATGCTGACATTCTGAGATCCTTGGAGATCCTCCCTTTGTGGGAGGACAGTGAAAGAGAGGCAAGTAAACAGGCAATAATAACATTAGGTTATAAGTGCTATGTTAGAGGAAATATAGGGTTCTGTAGGAGGATATAGAAAAAGTACTTGGCTCAGACTTAGTGAGATACAGGAAATTTCCTAGAAGAAACACAGAATCAAAACCTTGCCTAATAAGTAGAAATTTGTCAAAGAAAGGGAGGTGAAAGAAGAGCATTCCATCCAGGCTTTAAGAGGAGTCTGCCACTTGGAGGAGAGAGCTTATGATGCTCTCAGTTTGCAAAATCAATACCTACTCCTCAATGGAGACAGAGGTATCAAGTTGATGCTGAAGGAGGCTTTTCAGCTGCCTCTCCCCTTCTGTTTCCAGCTCCTCCAGGACATGTTCATCATTCTTCACACAGCTGTTTACCCTGGAGTAGATGAAAGAATATATACAGAAAATACAAGAGAAAATGAGTCTCAAAATATATTCCTTGTCTGTATTGTCTACCATTAATGACCTTATTTGCTCAAAGATGCTTCACCAACAATTCACTGCCCTTTACCATTCATTCCACAAACATTTACTAAATATGTACTTACACAGAAAGCACTTTGCTAGGTACTGATGGAAGTCAAAAATATTCAAGACATAATCCCTGTCCTCAAGAAGCCTGCAATCTATTTAGGGAGAAGAAATATATGTGTGTTCATGTGTTGCGTGTATGTGCCTGTGGGGGTGGAGGTAAATAATATGAATGAATAGGCCAGGCTCAATGGCTCAGCCTGTAATCCCAGTACTTTGGGAGGCCGAGGCGAGTGGATTGCCTGAGCCCAAGGGTTCAAGACCAGCCCAGGCAACTTGGTGAGACCTCATCTCTACAATAAATCAAAAATTAGCCGGGTGTGGTAGTGCGCACCTGAGGTTCTGGTTACTTGGAAGAGTAAGGCGGAGGGATTGCCGGAGCCAAGCAGGTCGACGTTGGGGTGGCCGTGAGTGTGCCATTGCACTCCAGCCTGGGCGACGGAGTGAGACTCCAACTCAAAATATATATATATATATATGAATGAATAATGATACAGAGAAGCATATGTCAAGTCAGTAGAAATTCACAAAAGAGATAATTGAGAGTTAAGGTGGTAAAAGAAGACTTCAGAAAGGCATTCTTAAACTGGAATTTAAAGAATTGAGTGTGATGAAGAAAAGGAGAACAGGGAAAGAAAGTATGAAGAGACAGAGATGTATACTGGGGGACAATAAGTTCCATTTAGCTGGCATTCATGTATGCAAGTACTGGAAGATGATATTAGAAGGAGTATATTAGACTCATACTGTGAGTGGTCTTAAACATCCTCACTTAGGGGCCTGGACCTTAATTGATAGATAGGTATTGTAAAGTAATTTATCAGTGCAAATGGTGGTTTTGGAAGAATGTGGTTATAATATGCAATATGGATTCAAAGGCAAGAAATCAGGTTTAGTTACGAAACTACTGAAATAAAAGGTGATGAAGGTTCAGACTGGAGTGCAAAGGGCAAAAAGGATTTGATAAGTGAGGCCTTTTGAAGGTAGAGATAAGGAAGTAAAAAAATAACTAAAAAATTTCAAGGCGTGTAACTGAGAGAAGGATGGTACCAATGAAGGAAAGAAGTTCCAGATAGAATAAAAGGTTAGGGAAAGGGAATAAATAGTTAGGGAAAGCAAAAGTCAGTATTGTTTCAGTCATGATGAGTCAACTACCTTTTACAATTGAAACACCAGCATGAAGTATCAGGAATACTTCAAGGACATAGTCTGAGGAGACAGCATGAGTGATTGGCTAAAAGGAAAGTGAGAGGTAAGAGGACCGTTGCACAGGTGAGAGTCTGAGGCTGAATGTGGAAATCTCGAGTCATCTGTGTTGACAAGATCTGGAGCTATGAAAGAGGGAAAGATTGCCAAAGGAGAGAATATAAAAAGAAATATTAAGAGAGTCATAACATTTTATTGCCTAGGCACCACTGTGTAGAAATCTAAGTAATGGCTAGCATGAGCTAGCTAACCCTAAATAAGTGAAAACTCTTATTTAGAGTGTAAAGAAATAACAGGATCATATAAGCATGCAACAACAGATTACAAAAACAAGCACAAGGCCATTTTAGCATGCAACAACAGATTATAAAAAAGCAAACACAAAGAAATGAGTTAACTTTATGAAGAAAATAAGTATTAAATACCTCCCTTATTGCCTAGGCACCACTGTGCCCTTTCCTAGTGGGGTTATGGTAAAGTCTAAACAAAAACTAACCTTCATAATTTTAAGAGTCCCATGCACTAGAAAGACTTGGCCCTATTTTGGAAGATTCTAAAATATTTTTAATCCCAAGGTTTAAAAAAATCATTTTAAGTAATCCAATTTTTATTTATTATTTAGAATTCCAAAAGTACTTGCTAAGTTTAAAGTTTCTATATACATCAGCACACATGAATTTCAATTAAAAAACTGTAGAGTTTCAAAATGAATTAAAGACCTAAATGTCAGGCTTGAAACCATAAAAATCCTAGAAGAAAACCTAGGAAAAACTTCTCTGGACATCGGTCTAGGCAAAGAATTTATGGCTAGAACCCCCAAAGCAAATACAACAAAACAAAAATAAACAAGTGGGACTTAAATTAAAAAGTTTTTGCACAGCAAAATAAATAATCAACAGAGCAAACAGACAACCTACAGCATGGGAGAAGATATCTGCAGACCATGCATTTGACAAAGGAATAATATCCAGAATCTACAAAGAACTCACACAAATCAGCAAGATAGAAGCAAATAATCCCATTAAAAAGTTGGCAAGCGACATGAACAGACATCTCTCAAAAGAAGATATACAAATGGTCAACAAACAGGAAAAAATGCTCAACATCACTTATCATCAGGGAAATGCAAATTAGAACCACAATGAGATACCACCTTATACCTGTCAGAAAGGCCAGTATTAAAAAAAAATTAAAAAAACAATAGATGCAGGCTCAGATGTGGAGAAAAGGGAACACAAACACAGTTGGTGGGAGTGTAAACTAGTACACTCTCTATGGAAAGCAGAATGGAGATTTCTCAAATAACTGAAAATTAGAACTACTACTTGATCCTGCAGTCTCCAGTACTAGATATCTACCCTAAGGATATAAAAAAGATACTTGCACCCACATGTTCATGGCAGCACAATTCACAACTGCAAAGATGTGGAATCAACCTAAATGCCCATCAACTAATCAGTGGATAATGAAAATGTGGTACATATACATTACGGAATACAATTCAGCTATCACAAGTGAAATAATGTCTTTTGCAGCAACTTGGATGGAATTGGAGAACATCATCCTAAGCGAACTAACTCAGGAACAGAAACCAACACTGCATGTTCTCATTTATAAGTGGGAGTTAAACTAAAGACATGCAAAGACATAGAGTATTGTATAATGGACACTGGACACTCAGAAGGGGGAAGGGGTGGGAAAGGGATGGAGAGGCAAAAAAAAAAAAAAAAAAAAAATCACCTGTTGGGTACAATGTGCACAGGTGGGGGGTGGTGGGTACTCTTAAAGCCCAGACCAAACACTATTTGTATCTCCCAAAGATATCGAAATAAAGAGTGAAAAAAGAGAAAAAAATGCAGAGTTTTAAAAAAGTAAGTTACAGAAAAATTCATACACTATATGTCCATTTTTGAAAAATGGATGAAGCTAGGAACATTTGTTTAGGGATAAATTCACATGTGCTAAAAATTATTTTTAAAACAAAACAAATGACTAACGAAAAATTCCAGAGGGTGGTCACCTCAGGGAGAAAGAAGAGAAGAAGGAAAAGAAATTAGGGAGGAGACACAGACATCTAAGGTACTGGCAATGTCCTATTTCTTAAGCTTGTAAGGACGTAAGCCTTTATTGTTTTAAAAACCGTACATATACATTATTTTGCATGAATATGAAATATCATCATACACAATTTTAAAGGCTATTTTCAGGCAGTGAAAACAAAAAACGGATTTTTTAAAGATGCAAGGAACCGATAGTGCAGGAGAGTATATCAGTATTTTAAGTGCACTGCACTATTCAGAGTGATGATTGTACTTGCAAGGTGAATACAAAACTAATTTAATGAGGATCCTTAATAAAAGGCTTGGGTTCTAAACAACGACCATCAAATGGTTCAAGCGGCCAATTTACCACTGAACCAACAGGAGGAATCACTCGCAGCAATGCCTTTCTTCTTCTAATACACCATCGAATAGATTTTGTGCTTTCCTTCGACATTTGTAGAAGTAAAGTATCACTTTCTTACTTTAAGATTTTAAAGCGCTCTGTGATATCAAGGCCCGATCAAGTCTCCTTTAACAAACAGGCATTGCAAATAAATGTGCTAACTCTCGGTCCCTTTCCGAGGTGGAGGCTGGTAGAGACCCGAAGGAGCGGGCGAGGATATCTCCGCGCTGGGAACCCTGTCAGCCAAAACCCTTTTGCCTGGCTAGGTCCGTCGGAAACAGGAAGCAGCCACAGCACCCAGCCAGCTCCCCGGGTCTGTGCCGGGAGGACATTTCCTACAGAAACCGGCCCTGGTGGTGGCCCTTCCTGCAGGCCTGTCTAATCCGTCTCCCCTCCTCCCTTCTCCATTGTCTTTCCGCTCACTCGAAACCGCATCCCGAGAACGTGACATACACTAAGCAGCAGAAAGTAATAAACGCCATAATTCAAAGTAAAAGGTAGAACAAAGCACCCCTTGCCGCCTGTTCCTCAGACACGCCCTTACCTCTTCATGTTTCCACGGCCCCTATTCGTAACTGGGGTAAATAGGCCTCGGACCGCAAGTCCCAGAATTCTGCGCGGCAGACTCTAAGGGGATTGTGGTGGAGCATGGGGCTCTGGGAGTTGTAGTACACAGAGCTCTAGACACGGAAAGAGAAAAGTAGGTATTGAGTGACTAGTATGTTGTAAATTGTACACATATTTATCTTAAATTTCTCATCTAGGTTAAAGAGAACACTCAAAATACCAAACTCATAAACCTAGGAGTCATTTTTGACTCTCATCCATTATCACTAAATCCTGGCTCTTCTATAATTTCCCTCGAACTTGTCTTGTTTTTCTTTCAAGGATTTGTCCAGCCTACCTGCTGTTTCCAGTTGTACTCTGACCCATCCTCCACGTTGTAGCCAAAGCGATCAGACCATATCACTTGTACTAATGGTTCTCCTCTATCTGTAACAGAATTTCTGAGTTCTCACCATTCAGAATTAGAGGTCTGTATGTATTCAGGCCCGCAAATTTTTTTTTTTATTGATAATCATGGTGAATCCAGAAAGAGATATAGCACAGTGGTTAAAAGCATGGGTTCTCAGTTCCCAGAAACAGAAATGCAAATGGCCTAAAGTATATGAAAATTTAATCCAATCTAACTTTTAAGTGAGATGAAAATTTCGAGGTACATCAACTAGTACTCCTTAAAATTATCAAGACCATCAAAAACAGAGAAAGTCTGAAAATATACCACAGCCAAGAACATAGGAGACATGATGACTAAGTAATGTGGCATCCTAGATGAGATCCTAAAACGGTTAAAAAAAAAAAAACCTAAGGAAATGTGAACAAACTATGCACTTTAATTAATAAAAAGATTCATTAACTGTGACAAGTGCATCAGTTATGCAAGGAAAATTGAGTGTAGGTATATGGAACTCTGTACTATACAACTTTTATGAAAATCTAAAATTGTTCTAAAAATTAGTTTATTTTTTAACAGTACACTAAACTAACATTTCTCACCTACCAGATTGGGAAAGATGCATAAGTCTGATAATACAGTCGTTTTGTTAAGATTGTGGGGAAATAGACACTCTCAATACACTACTGGTAGGAATATAAATTGGTACAACTTCTATGGAAGGGCAACTTGAAGATAGTATTGAAATAATAAATGCGCATTCCCTTTAAATCAGTAATTCAAGGGCTATAAATAGTATCCTCAATACTACATATCCTCAAGCACATATGTATCATTCATTGCAACAGTTTATAATAAGATACTGGGGAAAAATCAATAATATGACACTATGAAAATGTATGATTCAATGAAAAACTACATAGCAGTTACAAAGATGACAAAGTATTTTATGGACTGCTACTGAACAGTCTCCAAAATATACTTAGTGCAATAGCAAGGTGCAGAACAATGTAGACACTATACTTCCATTTGTGTAAAAAGAGGGAATATATATCATGTTCTTCTGTTTTCACCAATTACTTCTGATAGAACCGACAAATCATCAGTGAATGTCTCCAGGTAAGGGAACTGAATGGCTGAGGAATAAGGGTAGAAAAAACTCTTCACTGTAAATGTTTGTGCCCCTTGAATTTTGAACCACGTGACTATATTAACTAGTCAATATATTTTTTAAATTAAAGAAAATCCTTCTTATATCACAAGTAGCCAAAGAAGAAAAAAGATTGTGGGTTTAGGATGTTACTGTGTGGATTTGAATTTCAGTCTTCAGTTATTGACAATATAATACAATAGGGGTTTGGAAGTAATCTACACTTAACTTTTGCTTTAGTAAATTACTAGACGATGCTAGCTTCAGTAAGTTTCTTTAACTGGTCTAGGCCAATTTCCTCACTTGTAAAATGAGGATAATACCTCAGAAGAATAGATTGACTGCAAAGCACTATACAAAAGTATGACTTTAAAGTCACTCCACGATCGGGGAGTCATCTATGAGTAAATATCCCAAGGTTATCCGGTAGATTCATACTTATTCAAACTGCTTTATGTTGCCAGGCCACCAAGTTAGAGCAAAAGACCAAAGAGCAGCTACTGGAAATCATTGTAGATTTTCTTATCTTGATAAATTTTAGCAAACTGAAAACCTCATGGTATTAGAGTTACTCAAAACCTGTCACGTGCTAGTGAATAAATGCAGACATAGTATGCACCACCATGTGGTTTTGGCACAGAACATGAACTGAATACAAGCATAAACAAAAGGTGAGTCACATCATAGCCTGCACCAGGTAAATGCTGCATAAGATGGTAGAGCTGAATTTCATTGCTCAACGAAAATGTCTAAATAAACATAAATGGAAAAATACACCAAAGCTGTTAGTGTGCTTGTTCCCTGGGAAAGTGGCAAACGGTAGAACAAATATTACACTGACCATCACACTGAACTTGTGTACAACTTCTAATAAAACATACAGCCTGCTGGTAATAAAGTGATACACACTACATTACAAATCCACTAGGTGGGATGAGTGGAGAATGAATGGCTAAAAGAAATCCTCACATAGCTGTAGAACTGCAACTGGAAAGCAAGGTCATAAGAAGTACTCTATGTACATGTGTATAACTGTAGCCAGATTAAGTGATAGGTACAAAGAACAAATACTCAGAAAATTGCACTAGAAGGAAAATCAAGCGACTTCTAGGTCTGCCAATCCTAACTGTGTAATGATAGCTATTCTATTTCCCACAACATCCCTCTCCCACCCTAAAAGGATATCAGTGTATAAAAAGCTTTGAGATCTCTAGATATTATACAGGGGCACAGAGATCTTGCTATAATGTAATTTCACAATTATACCCCTAGAATGTATGACAAACTGAAAAATATGCCTAATATGTCTTCCTGACAATTTAACAAGATTAGTTTAATTAAGCCAGAAGCTCCTCTTAACATAGGCAGATTTTCAGGGTTTGTCCTTTTTAGGTTCTTTGTTCGCAGCACATTTTTGATGAATACATCATGAAATCATCATTATAATCCCAAAATATGGAAGATGTCGAAACCAAAAGTCTTCTCTTGAATGTACTCATCATCTAATATTAAGAACAAACAACTGTGAACACCTTCCAAATTTCCCAAATGAGAGAGCATAAATGCTGTTATAGAGAATAAATATAGCATCTTTTCAAAAGCCAAAAAAATAGATAAACCCTGGGATAGTGCAAATTTAAGAAATCTTCTTCGGCTAATATCTTAGCTGGCTAACAATAGTTAGAAGGGGCTCAGACTCCATAACGGTACCTTAACAACTGTCAAAAATAGGTTATTTCTGAGCTGTTAATTAATATTTGTTCAACAATGTCATGTCTTCTTCACACCAGAGTCAGAAGAAACCTTAGAGATTATTTAGCCCAAAGTTCCAGAATCTAGAAAGTACATTGAGATCCACCAGTAAATCTTATAACATTACTAGATTGATCTGGAAACCACTTGCCATCTTCTATGTACTAGAAAAAATACTACAACTCCCAGTGATGATAATGCAACAGTAAGGTAGTGCAAGTAGTATTGTGGGCTCCTCTTTCGTTATTTTACTTAGGAAATTTACAGTAAGCACTGTACTCAGAGTGAAAACATATAAAGGAATCTCAAAATTCCAGAGAAATGAAAATTGGCTTCTTCAGAAAACAGCTGAGAAAACCCTAATATGGTCCAACTCTCATTTTTGGACAAAAATAAGGCTCAAGATGAAATTATTGGTCCAGTTAATTAGGCGGGGAAGAGACTAGAACCAATGTTTCCACTAATATGCTATGGTCTCTACTGATTGTGAAATTTGTACACAGGCTACTTCACAGGAATTGAATCTCTAAAAGCAATAGGAAAAATGTCTTTATCTAGAGTATCATAATAATAATACTGAACTCAGAAATTACTCAAGATTATTCTCTAAAGCTGCATTTCTCTACAGAACTCATCCAACAAGATAATATGCTCTCTGGATTATTTTCAGTCTACAATTCTGAGTGGTTACAAGAACTTATCTGATAAGAGCTGCTGCTTGGAAAAGTTTGGGTAGGAAAAAAAAGAGGCCATGTAAATTCTGGCATTTAGTCTGCTCATAAGACTAGTTATCACTAATATTCATTTCAAACATATTTTATTCCTGTAATGTGTACCCCTGTGGGTGGCCATGTGCAGTCAGTACAACAGAAATTCAGTTCAGTAATTTTTTTTGGATTAGAAAATATAGCTTATTTAAAAAGTAAATTAGAGAGAGAGAGGAAAAAAAAAAGAAAGAGGAGATACACCTCCCCAAGGTAGGGAAGGGGGCCAAAGTCAGGAAGCATGGTGACAAGCCATAGCTCAAAGAGCACATGTCCACACCAGAGTCTAATAAGGAAATGGTCCAACTCAGTAATTTTGGGCGACTGAGCTCTAGTCTCTTAAACATTTTTAAATAATTTACAATTACTTTTTTTTTTTAAGAATATTGCCTTTATTAAAGACTCGGATAAAACATGCAGTACGAGAGATCAGATGGTTCCAAAGCTAACAATAAGAATTCTTCTTGAAAAATAAATAAGCACACAAGAACACAAAACCCAACAACTATAAATCATATGCTAAAACCAAATAAAACACCAGCATGTCTGTACATCAAAAATATCCAAATTCTCTGAACCATATCCTTTTAAAAATAACCTAATTCAAGTCCCAAATCTATCCTTTTTCTCCCTGCTCTGAATTTCTATAACACACTTTCTGTAATTCATAACACACTTCCTTTTATTGTCTATATTGTTTTTATACAGACAGGCATTAATTATATCTCATACTAGACAGTGGGTTCTTTGAGGAGAGATTTTGCAGTATTCAGTACTATAAATTGATATAACAGGCACACAGTAAAGACTGGTTGGCATGCACTTTTGGCAAACATCACTCTACAATTTCACTGGAGTGAGAAGAATGATGTGTGTTGATGGTAGGACCTGGAATTTAGGAGAGTGAGATATAAATTACACATACAGGTTCAACATCTAATACGTTGTTGCCTGGACAAAGGGACTAGTATAATTT